GGAGGGTCACAGGGAGAAGCAGACTCCCTGCTGAGCAGGGAGCCCAACGTGGGACTCGATCGCGGGACTCCAGGATCATGACCTGAGCCGAAGGCAGTGGCTTAACCAACTGAGCCACTCAGGCGCCCAATTTATTATTAAATTTTAAAGGCCTTTTTTTCCCTGTATATGGTTGACTAGTAAAGATGTACCACACCTGCAATTTGTCACCACTGAAACAAATAGAAAATTTAAAAGGATGAGAAATTACATAAATATTATAAAGGTTAGTTCAATGTCTTTAAATGCCCTTTAGAAATCTACATCTCTGCATAGATAAATGAAATTTAACTTTATCTTAACAATTGGGTTGGGTATTTTGCCTATGTAGGGTGAAAATCATACATCTCAGGTATATATTTCATGGAATTTTATATATGCTTGGAAAGTGGAACTCTAAATTTGGTGACTATCAGTTCTAGTTGACATTATGAAAATGACTTAGAAAAATGTACCACTGTGGAACAGCATTGTGTTGTCAAGTGATAAGAATATTACTACATAAAATGTTAGTTTTAAAATATATATTTAACTGTCCTTTATCTATCATCAGCTAAAACCAGGAAGGTTTGCAGAACAAGTTATAGGATGTGGAAATGATTTTTGTTTTTGCTGTGATATTTATTGGGATTGTTTGAAGGATTTAAAGGTACCACTAAAGATAGTAAAAAGTCCACGAGAGAGAACAAAAGCTAAGTGTGAATAAAATCCACTCGTGAGAGCTGGTTTCATTTGAGATAAGTATTTTCACCTATCAGGCCTGACTCTATTTCTTTCTTCTTTTTTTTTAAGATTTATTTATTTATTTGAGAGAGCGCGTGCGCGCGAGAGAGCGAGCGAGAGAGAGAGTGTGTGTGTGTGTGTATGTGTGTGCTTGAGCAAGGGGTAGGGGCACAGGAGAAGCAGACTTGGGGAGCCCAATATGGGGCTTGTCCTACTACCCACAGGGAGATCATGACCTGAGCCAAAGCCAAGAGTCTAATGCTTAACCAACTAAGCCACGCAGCCATTCCAACTCTATTTCTGATGGTGGAGCTACGTTAGTTTTGGGCAGGCTGGAAATGTTCTTTTCTATTTTTTTCTATTTCCATTTATAATTTAAAGCCAATAATACAATGTAATTTATTTTTACTAAAATGGCACAATTTTAACCTAAACAGTTTTTAAAACATCAAGAATTTTGCCAAATGAATTATATCCATTTAATATTTTCATTATTCCAATCCAAACAAAACTCTTACACCTAAATAAGTAATTTTGTAAATCAAATGAGTGTATAGTTTCCATTCATAATATTGACCACAAAAGCAGTATTTGAATTGTGATCTGTGCCATATATTAAAATTCTAACAAAAAAAGGCAATTATTTTACCATTCTTATGACACACTAACCATAGATACTAAAATTAATATTTTTATTTAGAATATTACCCAATCATTCTGAAAAGTTTCCTTTTAGGGTTTTCCAATTTGCTTTTGTTAATATTTACCCCTGACACTTGCTTTTTTATTTTTAAACTATCTTTCAGGGCACCTGGGTGGCTCAGTTGGTTAGGTGTCTTCCTTTGGCTCAGGTCATGATCCCAGTGTCCTGGGATCAAGCCCCGAACCCTGCCCAGGGGGGAGTCTGTTTCTCCTTCTCCCTGCTCTTGTGCTCTTGCTTGTTCACGCTCTCTCTGTCTCTCTCTCCCTCCCTCTCAAATAAATAAAATCTTAAAAAAAGATGATCTTTCATTCTGTTAATGTGTGGGCATATATATATATATATATATCTCATGTTATATATATGCTCTATATACAGAATGAACAGTTTAAGAAATCATTTTAACCTAAATGCAGAATTAATATTTTAATGTTGACCATTTACTTATTTTCTTATGTATTTATTTGTTAGTGTACCTATTGCTGGAGCAATTTGAGCTGATTATATAATTATTCACATAAATATATAAAAATATATCTTATCCTTATTTGGTCCAGTTAAGTAATCACTTCTGGCACACACTGGAGATTTTGCAGTGAGAATTATTGACTTAAAACCTGGAATATATCAACTAGAGATAACAGAAGGAAGAGTGCATGTCGGACAATTAAAATGGCATTAACCAATATAGTGAAGACTCCTACAGGTGCTCCTGAATTTCATTGTACTAAGAACATATGGTGATGTTATTTCAATTTTACCTTCTAAAATATTATTTGCAAAAACCTGACTAAAGGGCAAAAAAATGTCTCTTTTTTGGTCAGAAAACACTAAAACACTCCAACATGTGTTGTCACAAGTCAAAGCCAATTGGCCATGCTCTGTGCTCCTGACAAATCTTGGCTCATGGGCCTTTCCTGCTTCTGTCACGATTGTGTATGGTGGCAACTCCTCATTATTCCCACGTGGTGGTCAGTGCTACAAAAGCTGGTGGGCAACATCACAGAGAGGCACTAATGCTTTGTTTATTAATGTGCCCTAGTGGCTATAGACTGTGGGCAGTATGATGTCCCTGAAGCTACCAATGTCCTTTAAGCCTTGATGTTACCTGTCCATCTACAATGTTCTTGTTCCCCAATACTCTCCAGGCAGAGGACCCTTGTTTTTGTTTGTCACTCAATCAAATGTCAAGTTCTTCTTATTTACATTTTCAAACTTCCAAAAGATCATTCTCCAAAAACTGAACAAAAAGATGCCAAAACTTTCCACTTATAATCACATAATCTTCTCTGTTCTTGGACTGAAACTGCTTCTTTTTGTAAAAAGTTCAGAAATTGCAGAAGTAAAAACAATGAATCATTGAAGTAGTGATTAGTAAAAGTTTATGTGCACCCACCAAAAAGACAGTTTGCAGAGCAAGAGCACTCAAACCAAAACATGGAATGAGACTCAGGGTATATTGTTATAAAGCAACTTACATAGTGGGAAGGCAGTGACTGTTTATTCTTCACAGGGATTGGTTATAATATTACAATTTTCTTAAATGATAAGGAACTGGTTAGTGGTTACCTCATACCAACCTTGGGAAATAGTTCAAGTTTTACTTATGGTATCTAGAGGCATAAACAAGAAATGGCTTGGGTCAAGCTAGCCTTGCAAAATAAGCTAACTGAAACTTTGTATGACTAGAGTGGTTTTGTCTGCTAAGAGAATTTTCAAGGTTGGTCTTCATTTGTTTTTGATTTTCACACTTTGAAGCTCTCAGATTTATCAGACTGGCTGGTGT